TCAACTCCTAGTCAATGCTTAGAGAAGGAGACCATGATTCTTAGTCAGTGCTTAGTCAATTAAGTCAACTCCTAGTCAGTGCTTAGAGAAGACAGGTGAAATCTAACTCACTCGGCAGACAACCAAGGAGAATATTTGGAGCCCAGGGTTGAATTGAGGGGTCCTTGGTGCGTTTTGAGCCTGGGTGTTTTCTTGCAGATGTTTCATTACCCAACTAGGTAACATCATTAGTGCTAGTAACACCTAGAATCTAGAAACATACAAGAAAATAAGCAAAATCAGAGAACATCAAGGACCCAACAGTCCTCCTTGTTCTCGTCCTCCTCCTCCTCGCTCCCCTGCAAACCCCTCTCCCTCCTAGCACTTGATGATAGGTAGTTTGGGAAATGGAACATCGGCACCAAAGCAACCAGAAAGCACCAAGGACTCCTCACTTGGCGAACACTTTATAGGCGAAAGCAGATGTAACATTTTGGGAGATTTGGTGCATTCCATACTTGTTGACCCATCACCTCTCATTCTGGAAGAATTCTGGGACCTGGGATGGAATATATTTTGGCCAAGCTCTCCTTAGTCTTAACCGCTACATTTTTTTCTGTCGTCTGTTGAAGAGGACACTTCAACCAGGGGAAAACAAAACAAAACAATCCTTTAGAACCAAGGCCAACAAAACATTGCAAGTTGGAATGGCATGCATTGGCACGGGAAGGGGGGTGGGTGGGCTGATGTTGGCAGCTTTGGGCTTGCCTCCTCCTCCTCCTCACCTTGACGGCTTCAGCATGGGTCACCTTGTCCAGCGGCTTGTCGTTGACCTTCAAGATCCGGTCTCCCACCCGAAGGCCTTCTTTATCCGCCAAGGAGCCCGGCTCCACCAGGGAGACGTAGATGCCAACGTTGTGCTCGGAGCCCCCTCGGATGCTGAAACCCAACCCTTCCTGAGCCTTCTGCCTCTTGAGAGTCATCCGCCTGACCTCTCCTGGCAGGTCTTCCAAGCCAACCGCAGCTGCGTCTCCGGGAGCTGTCCCGTCCACGGTGGTGCTGAATTCTGGCCGGAGCTTGCCGGAGGAGGAAGGAGGCCAGAAACGAGCGGCAGGGGTGGGAGAGGGAAAAGGGGCCGAGGAGGCAGCGCCGGGCGGAGGAGGGAGGACTCTGGAAGACCCGGCCCCATCGTACCCTGGCCCAGCGATGGGCAAGAAGTCCGCCTTTAAGTAGAGCCCCTCCGAGGTGTACTGGTCGAAGAGAAGCTGGTCCGAGCGAGGGATGACCAGGCGCAACATGGGCAGCAGCTGCCTCTTCTCTGGGCTGTCCAGCAAGACTTTGAGCGTCTGCACCAAGTCGTAGACATTCCGGCGACAGTGGTAAACGTTAAGGCAATGCACGAACTGCTCCCGCTCGCCTTCGCTCAGCAGCAGGTTGAGTGCCCCGTGGAGCTTCCGCACGTTGGCCGACAGCAGCCGGATGCCGGATCCGGGCCCCCCGCTCCTGAGCCCGGCCTGTCCCGCGGCCCCCTTGCCCGCCCCGTCCAAGGAAGGCGAGGAGGAAGAAGCGCTGGAGGCGCGCGAACCCACCGAGAGACGGTCCAAGTCTGCGCTCATCGCCTCCGGCCAGAGAGAGAGAGACGGATGCTGGTCGGCCGCTGGGGAGCCGGGCATCGGAAGACAGCTGGACGGCGGGGCCGTTCACTTGCGGGGCTCCCTCCTCCTCGGCCCCCTCGGCTGGAAAGGCGGAGGAGCCATGGGGGGAAAAAGCAGAGAAAGGAGACGCCGGGCGGGTCGGCGGAGGGGCGGGCGCGCTCCGGAGAAGGCGTCCTGGCCGGCGTCGCTTCCCCCCACCCCTGCGGCTTGTCCTTTGCAAGGTGAGGAGGGGAGAGAGAGAGAGAGAGAGAGAGAGAGACAGAGAGAGAGAGAGTTCAGAGGTGGGGGTGGCTCAGGCCGGCGCGGAGGATGGGATCCGTGGCCGAGTCCGCCGCTGCCGGCTGGCCTCTATGCGTTCCGCGGAGCGCACGCATCTCCAACTCCCTGGCGCCTCCTGCTTGGCACAACTCCGCTTCGTCCAAAGAGCAACAGCCACACCAAGTCTGCCTTTTTTCTTTTCTTTGCAAAGGTTCGCCCTGCTTGTTTCACCCTCGCCTTGTTAAAAATAATATTAATAATAACTGGCGCCTCGTCCGAGCTTGCAAAAAAAAAACCAACAACAACCCAACAACAACCCAACCCGCCTCTCTTTCTGCAGACGCGGCTCCTCGCTCTCCCCAGCACACGCCAGCCCAAGACTTTCTCCAACTGTTGAGCGCCCCTTCGCTCGCCCTGCCGAGCTGCCAGGCTGTCGGGATCAACCAACCTCTTGGCAGAAACCTGCTCAGGAAGTGACGCGTCTCCCGGTTGCCAAGAGACGGGGCTGATACAGTCCGGCCTCGGCAGAGAGGAAGGTGCGCCCGAGCCTGGTGCAGTCGAGCAAACTTCAGCCAGGATGTTACCTGAGACCAGGATGGGGCTTCACTGATGTTGTGAACTAGTTGGGGTCATGAAACGTCTGCAAGGAAAACTACCATGCTCAGAGAGCGCCAAGGACCCCACAGTTGTCTTCCACCTCCTCCTCCTCCGCCTCCCCCTCCCCCTCCTCCTCCTCCTCTGCAAACCCAACTCCCTTTCTGGCACTGATGACATTACCAAGTTGGGTCATGAAATGTCTGCAAGGAAAACCAACAAGCTCAGAAAACACCAAGGGTCCTACAATTGTCTTCCTCCTCCTCCTCCTCCTCCTCCTCCTCCTCCTCCTCCTCCTCCTCCTCCTCCTCCTCC